GCGGCGATCGCGTCGATATGACGATAAATCCAAATAACAACGCCTCCCCCCCCTCCGCCCCACCCTTCCACTTTCCACAGTTTTAATACCCGCGAAGCAATGGTAGAGTGAGTCGCGTCTGGTGAGTCGGAGCGTTCGCGATATCGCAGCGATATTATAGGAGAGTGCGAGTGCGAGGTAAGGCTGGGAGAAAGGCGATGATCGATCATGTAAGGATAATCGCACGAGGCGTTGGCAGCGCGTCATAATTTCGAGCGGCAGCCCTGGCAATCAGTCTGGTTCCCACACACAGGTGTTTCTTAACGTCGGCGGAGTTGGCCGGTGAGTCTCTGCCGCTCGCTGCCGTTTTCCACCGAACTGCAGGAGGGTGGATGGGTGGATTTGTGGTTGGTCAGGAGAAGGGGAAGTGCGCAGCAGCCAACCTCGATCGCCGCGAGCCTATAATAAGAAGTCTGCCCTTTACATTTCCCACGCGCATTGTATTGCATTGCGCTCGTTACGATTTCGCTAACTACAAAATCCTTTTGATCCCTGTTTTCTTATTCCTCTCCTCTCCTCTCCTCTCTCTCTCTCTCTCTCTCTCTCTCTCTCTCTCTCTCTCCCTATGTATCTATCTATATATGTATACCTACCTACCTACCGATCTATCTATCTATCTATCTATGTATATGGTCGTAGACATCATTGCTGGTGGTGAAGGTGGAGATGATAATGGCGGTGACGACAGCAGAAACGACAGTAGACGACGAGCCGTCCACCATCGCCATCCAGACTTCTTTCTCACTCAACTTATTATAATCTTTAATCTTACTGCGCTTATGCGAGTGACGTACTTAATAAAACCCTACTGTGTTGTGCCCGACACCTCGCCAATTGTATTTTAAAGGGACTCCAGTTGTCTCTCCACACTCTCTCGGCCAAATACGCAAATATTTCGTCCGCTCGAGTTAATTTTTTTTATTTTTTTTTTTTTATTTATTTTTTTTTTTTTTTATTGAATCCAGTAGACGCATTGATTCCTCTTGCGCATTATTCCATTGTACTTTGAATGATTTATTAAGGTGGTGATTCCGAACTGGATTTCACTCGATGGCACTTATTCTGAAGATTTTCCGTTCACTTTGAGAGCGGTGCCCGAATATACAATGATTTGGCAAGATAATCGAAACAGCTTATAACATTGTATCTTTAATTAGCCGCGGGAATGTTATATAATATCTTTGATGATAATAGTCTCGCTTCCGTAATAAAAAAAAAGTAAAGCTCCGCATTAGTTGTTTGATTAAAAAGTTTTCCTGTTTAATTCGAGCGTCTAAATAATAGGTACATTTGAGCGTCAAGATTTTCTGCAATTAAATTTAAATTCAAACACGTATATAAGTAAGCTCCTAACTGGGTTAAAAAGAATAATAAAGCCAGACGAATGTTGGAAAGATGCTTACTGCCATTCGTGTATATTTTGAAAATTTTAAAGAGCACGGAAAATTTAAGTGGCCTCGTTAGAGTGTGCGAGCTCCGTATCGTATTAACTAGATAGTATTTATTAACTTCCATCAAATTGTCGATTTGATAATATTCATTTTATCTACGAATTTACTATATTAAAAGTGTCCTCGGCTCCTCCATTTATCGTATTCCAAATTGACACTTGTTTAATCATACGTCCGTAGCGCAAGAAAAGAACGAAAAAGAGTCAACAAAAAGAAAAGAAAAAAACAATACGTAATCCCAACGGATTTATAATCCTTCGCTCCTCTCTTCGACAAATTTCCCCTTACATTAAAAACAATATTGCAACCCTCAACGCACTCTCTATTTATATCCATCCCCTGTCTGTGCATCATCCAGACAGTTATTCGCTCTTATTGCGCGTACGCCTGCAGCGGAACTTAATCCAGGGAATAATGGTATCACTTTTGCGCTCTACTTTACCTATCGAGCCACAAATTATTCAATGGCTCAATACGATTGAAAACTTTTCCACGTTGTAATATACTCCGACGCTACAACCATCTCGCTGTTTGTTTGAATGTTTATTTATTTATTTATTTTTTTTTTTTTTTTCATACTTTCGTCGCAAAGTAACGTATAGGGCACGCGACTTGGAGTCAACAACGTAAAGAAAAATTACCCGTAATATAACAAGATATAAGCAATTATTTCACGAAGTAATTTTGTTCGGCCAATGTCGATGTCGCCAATGCTCACCTTCTTCCTATGGCCAATTCATTTCGTTCAAAGTTCGCGCGTGGACAGGTTCTATTATTTTATTTTCCGCGGCTAATAATTTATATTTCGGGATGAAAAAATTCCATAAAAGCCGAACAGGCCCGATCAATTTTCCCGTTTAATTACTTTGTTAATTATCGCGATAAAATTAACCATTTTCGCCTGCATTGGCTACGCGCGTACATTGGCTTTGCAATTATCCAATCGATCGAAAGAATTAAAATTAGTTCAATGCATTATCATTGTTGCTGATACTAGTGTCATATACATATTCCCATACAAATTAATATTAATATTATTTCATTTAATTACCTCGTCGGTGATACTCGTATATAATGTGAACATAATTTAATTAACCTAATTAAATTCTATCGATTAATCAAATTTTTTATTTTTATTATTATTATTATTATTATTATTATTATTGTTATTGTTATTATTATTGTTATTATTATTATTTATCCAAGACATTATCGGTTTGGCAGGACTGCAACTTCATAATCATTCATTACCATACTAGATCAATTAACAAAACGATTAAAGGAGCCGACGATTTTTGCACTTTAACATAAACTTCATGTGCGCTCCGTTACAAACCTGCGACTCCTCCCTCCTTCTTCCCATCCCCGTCCTGCCCAAAATCCTGGTTGAGCTCGCCACTCGCGCTTTACAAGCGAAATTGCTCTCGGAACAAAGAGCGCGCGATGACTCGCTGTAAAGGATGTAGGGAGGACGCCCATTACCCAGTGATAACAAAAAGTTCCGTGGCCTGGAAGTTTTGGATCTCGGAGCGGTGTAAAGCCCTAAATAAGCACAAATTCATTCGTATGCCGCATTGCGTGCGACATCCGGGAGATGGGACCGGGGGTGGGCGGGGAAAGAATCGAAGTGGAGGGTTCATTAGCGACACCGTGGTAGCAGCAATGCAATGGCATATATTATCCATACATCTGGTTTCACAGGTTCCTTGGGCACGTCGGTCTTCGACCCAGATGTCTACCTCGTGGGTGCCAGTGGCGGAGTTTACGCCCTTCTCGCCGCCCATCTCTCCAACGTCATGCTGAACTACAACAATATGGAATTCGGCATTGTTCGGCTCATCGGTATTGTCATTATCGGTAAGTTAATTTGCAAGCTACTTGTCGTCTCGAGATATCCATTATTTATCCATACAATTGTACTATTCATTATATCTATACATATCCAGTATACACGTCCATATATATATATATATATATATATATATATGCATATAAAATAAAATATATAATTTTCAAAAATATACAAATACATAAAGAAAATACCGTAAGATATATATATATATATTTTTTTTTTCTTTCGTAATTGCAAGCTCTTTGGCTTATACTTAATGTCGCTAAAGTTTTTGCTCGAATAGATATTTAAATTTCAACGTATATACTTAATTTATACACAATTCTTCTTTTCTATTTGTCTCTAAGTTGTTTAGATTTACTTACTTTACGAACTTATGCGCATGACTTTTATTATAAGCAGACAGTAGACATCGAACTGTCAAAATATATGCAAGTACATTTATAAAATATGATTTTGTAAAATATAAATCTCGTTTATTAATGAATGATAAATTAATTTATACATATTTCTGTAGACACTTAATTATTTAATTATTTATAATTTACTTTTTATCTATGTGAATTAGTTATACAAATCAAGGCTGAAAGATGTTTTCTAATTTTCAAACTTTTGACAAACATTATGTCAATATCGTGTTTCTCCTCCATTCAACCGTATATTACATCATTGCTTAATTATTATTATTTTCATATAAATATAATGTTACATATAATAATTTTATAAAGTAACTATGAGCTAATAGATAGAGCCAAGATTTTCTTCAATTTAAATTTGATTAGTTAGAAACGTATTGTTTGTAAACAAACGGTTATTTAATTTTCTAGAAGTATACAAAAAATTTACGAATTTCTTTTAAAGATGTTCATTGCAGATAAATAAATGAGTATTAAAAGAAAGATCGTCCGCAACTTTTTAATATGCCAAATGCGTTTGTTTTCATCGTGAAAATAGCTCTTGTAATTTTGCCTTCCCGACACTTACTCGAGACATTTCGTGGATCTTTCATATTTTATAAGTTACGATCGGTAAGTTTAAGTTATGAATCGAAAGAGGAGAGTTTGAAAAAATCATTAAGTTGTCAATTTGTCGAAAGATAATAATGTAAAATCAATTTGTCCCATCTTCGTTAATTAAAATTCGTTAAATAACATAAAAATATTCGAGTTAAACTTTGCTTTGAGATAATGTCTTTTTGCGGCAACCTTTAAGCAATGCTTAAAAAATAGGAGAGAGAGAGAGAGAGAGAGAGAGAGAGAGAGAGAGAGAGAGAGCGATAGTGGAGCGGCACTCTTGGAAACTTTTTGCGCCTGAATAAAATGACAACGAATGATGAAAAAGTTCGAAACTTATGGCTGAACTCGCGGCGCAAATGAAATATTTAAAAAAGGAAAAAAGGAAAGGCAACGAAACCTCCTTCTGTTTGACGAGCGCCTCGGATTCCTGATAATCATCAATCCATTCGTCGACGCGTCCATTACTTCGCCAAACTTTTTAATTAAAAGATAAAGAAATGTCTCTTTAGCTCTCGGCTACTGCTGGCCTTGCACTTTTTTGATTTTTCCGATGCTTTACAGTGCTTTTTCGCACTTTTCGGTAATATTAGCAATGCCGACATAAATCGTCGAATTAAAGCGCGTTAGTCTAGAAGTGGCGGGCATTTAATGAAAAAAAGATAACATCGTTCATCCGCACGCAGCAAAAAGTTAGAATTTCAATTTTACGCCGACTAGCCCCACCCCCACCCCTGCCGTTCGTTTAACTAAAAAACTCATCCTCTATCGCAATATTTATTCCTCCAATCCCTTCATTCGATAAAGGTGTACAAGTATTATTGAAGGAATATTGACGACTATCGTTGACATTTCTCGCGCAAAAAAAATAATCCCCAACCATTTTTAGTCGGCCCAATAATTCACAAAGATCATTGGTAATACACACGACCATTAACCCATATTGCTGCATTCCATTGGCAATACGCGCGGCCGTATGTGGGTAGGGCAAACGGGGGAGGGCGGCTGATGGGGCCGCATATCCCCTACCTCATTAAATCAGCAAAATCATATTTGCCCCTCACACTCCGCTTCATCAAAGCTAGGCAGCCATTAGCTACGTAGATAATTTCGCTTTTGCAATAATGCAAAATAACACTGCGAGGTGGACATATGACGGGACAGTAGAAAGTCGGGACATTAAAATTGCGATAGAATTTGCACGCAAAATACTTAGTAGTAAGCTGTGGTAAGCCCGTACCTAATAAATTATACTTGTGCGCGCAATTGTCAATTTTTTTTGTTTTTGTTTTATAACAAAATCGTTAAAAGCATTATTATTCATTGTACACGCTCGTGGCAACTTCATCCTTTCGAATTCAGTTTCGCTCGTCCTGGGGGGAATAAAATCGGATAATTGATTAGCAGCTGATAGCAAAAAAATTATATTGCGATTAAGAAGAAAAATTTAAGCGCTTTGGAATAATTTTCAAATTAATTATCGTTCAAGAATGGAAGATGAAGTTTTATCCTATTAAAGAGATAGTAAATAATTTCTCCTCTTTCTTCAACTTTTTATGTGCTATTAGACATTTTTATAATCATTTATAGCCGATAACGTTACCGCGTAAAAGCAATCTACTCAATTTCCAAGATATTTTATTCCTCCGTATTATCATTTATTCGGCCTTATTTATCCACATTTTATTGAAAACTGATACTCAACAATAATAATGACATTTCATTTTCATTATTTAAATCCAGCGATACACGTGCAAAATAGCTTCCCTCTAGGGCCCCCTCTGCATTAACAAGGCCATTATCTACATTCATCAATTGTTCACGATATTAAAAACACATTAGCGAGCAGTATTTATAATACGCAATAAAAAGGAGAGAAAACGAAGTAGTGGCGGGGGGGCATTTATACATTTGTTCTTATAATTACATTCCTCTTAAAATTGTTAGTACATTGAAATCCATAATTATCGTCGTAATGGCTGAACGCTTCAAATTTCCAAACGTTCATTATTTGCCATTCGGTTTTCAGCATATCCACAGTTACCTTATCCTCCTTTTCCCTCGAATAGACGCATATACAGGCTCATGCAATGTTGCCGAGACTTTGTAAATTCGTAATCAACGCGACTCATCGCACGCCACGTCGAAAATTCTCGCCGAAATAGCATTCATCGTAACGAACGCTTAAGTCGAAAAGTGTAGTCAGCACTTAAATTATCACCCACCTCCTTTCCACATAACCGTCTCTCTCTCTCTCTCTCTCTCTCTCTCTCTATATATATATATATATATATATATATATATACATCGCTATATATACTCCTCAATTCACAGCCACCATTATCATCACTCCACCTGATAAATTGTACTTTTGGACTCGTTAGTTCATTGATCAGCGCACGTGAGATTTTAGAACTAAGGTATGCATTTGCGTATTACTTGCCCCATCGAATTTTTTCGAGACTCACTCGCAAATAAACAATACCAATCATTCGCGGCAATTTGTGAATTATTTTCTGGTTTATACCGTGGTACTCGTCGTTTACGCTTATTGCGCAATCCATTTCGTCGATGAGATTAAATGGATAAATTATTCTGAGAAATCGAATGTTCTACCATTCTTCAAAGTCGCCTCCTTTTCCTCATCTAAAAGAGAAAAGGAAGAAGCCCACGCTCCCCGAATATTTTGAAATAATGAGAAATGCCTTACGCGTTAAAGGGGAACAAAGGAAACAAAACAAAAAAACAAAATGACGCGAACTTATCAATCCATAGGCCCGACTGCATTGCTCGACTCAATTTATCTGCTTGCGTTTGGAATTGAAAATTTAAAATTTAAAATCCACCCGGCCAAATTGTTTCTCAATTATAATTCGCCTCGTCATCGCTGACCATCCCAACCCCATCCAACCCTCAACTTGACGCAATTAATCGCCCGATTATTTATTAAACTTAAGGAATGCCCGGGGACTCCCAGGAGCAGTAAATTTCCCCGAATATATAACGGTGACCTTCTACACCCCTCACCTCCCCCTACCCTACCACCCTACCCGCCACCAAATTCTCCAATACATTGCGGACCGTTGAAAGTTTAAAAGGTCCGTGGGAGAGGTAAGATGGAGCGAAACGCGGACTAATCGTGTAGCAAACGTCTTTCTTGCGCGCGAAAGTCAAAAGTCATTGAGAGTTGGGAACGTAATCCACGAGTAAGGAGTCAAAGATGTAAGGTCGCCGAGTTGAAATGGTTAGAAGCTAAGACCAGGTGAATTAAGTTTACCCTTAGCTGGTGCGTTAAGACATGGAAACGAAGTTAGCTTGTTTCGAGGCAAGAGGTCTGCGTGGGTGGATGCACGAGTAGGTGAGAGTCTACATCGCACTCGCATCGCTTTATCGAAGCCGCTTATATTACCCTCCACACAGTTTCACTCGCAAAAGGGTGTAAACTCTTATATTATTGCCTTTAAATGGCCGTAACTTCGAATCTACGGGGACTCTGCAACTTTCTCGCGATCTCTTACAATTCGCCGATAATATTTCTGTATCTAGATTAATTGCGTTAAGTCGTTTTCAAACTCGAGGCACTTATCATTAATACGATTATGAGAACGTACCGGGAAAGCTATTTTATTTCGTACTTCAACGGAATCTACGAAATTATAATACGAAATTTTTATTCGTTTGCCATTCAAATGATATGGACGCTCTAGAAATTTTCAACTCTTACATTTTATTACACTTTATTATATTACGTTATATAAACAAAACAAAACAAAACAACAAAACAAAACAAAACAACAAAACAAAACAAAAAATTGGTGTTTCTAGTAAATTGTAATTTTATATATTAGAAATATTGCCAGTAGTACTCGCATTGAAAAATGAGTTATTCTTAAGCTAATTAATTGGATGCGCGGGTACACACGCGCACGCGCATGTACAACATTATATATATATATATATATATATATATAGAGAGAGAGAGAGAGAGAGAG